AAAAAGTTTTATTTGGCTCATGGTTCTGCAGGCTGTACAAAGAGGCATGACAGCAGCATCTACTTCTGGTGAGGGCCTCAGGAAGCTTCCACTCATGATGCAAGGTGGAGTGGAGCAGGCATTGCATTGCATGGTGAGAAGAAAGGGGGAGAGGGAAGGGGCAGCTAGGCTCTTTTCACCAATTAGCTCTGGCTGGGAACTAATAGAGCCAGCACTCCTGACTGCAAGGAGGGAACCAAGCCATTCATGAGGGATCTGCACCCTTGATCCAAACACCTCCCACTGGGCCCCACCTCCAACATTGGGGATCATATTTCAACATGAGACTTGGACGGGACAGATATCCAAACTATATCACCTCCATAGCAAGAGCATCTTCCTAATTATTTTAGAAGCGTCAGATGATGACTAATACGAATAATGCCCTGTGCTTCTGAATGCAGGACTCTTCCCCATCTCTTCTTCCTTCTTTCCTTCCTTCCTCCCTTCCTCCCTCCCTGCCTCCCTCTCTTCCTTCCTTCCTTTCCTTCTTCCCTCTCTCTCTTCCTCTCTCTTTCTCCCTATCTCTCTCCCTTCTCCTCCTTCCTTCCTTCCTTCCTTCCTTCCTTCCTTCCTTCCTTCCTTCCTTCCTTCCTTCCTTCCCCCCTTCCTTCCTCAGTGAGTCCTGCTGGCCACTGATAATGCATGTTACTAATATTCTGAAGTCTTCACGTTGTCAGTTGCTCTGTATTCTCTGATGTCCATTTGAGAAGTGGAGAATATGCCTCTCTCCCTCTTCAGAGGTTAATATTTCAAATTGATACCAAGGTGTTCTACCTCATTCTCATTTTTTAGAGAGTTCAAAATTTTTTGTCCGTTTTGGTTACTTACAACCCTGTCTATCTTTCCAGCCCTTCTTACCCTATTAAATAGCCATGAATGTGTGGGAATGTGGACTGGAAGGATGAACTCAATGACAGACTATGCTGCTTCCAGAACAGTGCCTCCTCTTCTGATGACTAAATCTCCCTTATGAGCCAATCTCCTATGACTCTGACCCTAAAGGATGGTTCTAGCCTGTCTCACCACGTCTGTTCAGTTCCTCACACAGAAAAACTGTTACACACACACGCACACACACACACACACACAAAATCCTTTGTTCCACAAAAGGCACAGCCTCACCTAACATTTCTAAATCCCAGTTTTGGATACATGTTAGGTCCAGACCCTCCTACATATTTATAAAGTGAGTTGAACTTTGGGAAGACCATTTCAAGACTGATCGATTTTAACTCTGGCAATAAAACAAGGCCTCTGTGGACTTATTACTCGGCAGACTACTAAAGCTGCCTTCATGTTTTGTACATTAGTTACATTGTCAGAAATATTTGAAAGTTGAACGCATACTGTGTTTTGGAATGGCACATAAACAAAGCATGGTAAAGATTCCAGAGGAATTCAGAGGTTGCTATAAGTTGGGTATCGCCATATGAATTCCAAAATGCAGTTAAACCCCACTCGCCCATGTAGACAGCATATCCTTGGGGACTTCTGCCCAGAATCCTGGCTAGATTTTCCTTGGCTGTTCAGCAGAGTAAATTCCTGACCTTGAAAATGGGACACAGTATTTCCCATGCTCACTCAGACGTGTGATGAATGTCCTTTTCTCTCACAGTTACATTGATTTTCTCCACAATTAACAGTAGAGCTGTCTCTTCTAGTCTGAACAGCTTGTTTTCAGTTTAGAAATTCTGTCTGTTCAAGATCAACTTATGATTGGACTCAGTCTCAGATTCTTCTTCAGAGATGGCATTTGGGTTCCTGAAGGAGGGGTGGAGACCTGAAGGCATCCCAGGATCCTCATACTGTGTCCTCTGGATGCCCAGGTTTCTATGGCAACCTCCCTGAGCCATCTGATTGTTCCTGATCTCCCAGCATTTGAAGCTGAGGTCGGCAGCTGATTAACTCCTGATTTCTGATTTCTCTGCAAGCTGAAGCTTGGCTGGGCTCCCAGGCTCCAGCAGCCTCACCTTGGCTTGCGTTGGTGCTGTGTTTCCCTTGAGACTCTCCTGTGGACTCCATTTGGCCCCAATCACAGTTAGCACATTTCATAGGCTCTTCCATAGCATATGCTACGAGGGGTTGTAGAAGCTCCAGGCTTCCAGTTACACTACACAGGAACCAAGAGCATCTTAGGAATGTTTCAGTCTGATCTTTGATTGATTTTCACATCGCTCTACGGACTTCCTTATGTGGTGCCCATACATTATTGTAGGCATGACTATAGAAGTCCCCGGATATCCACCAGAGTGAAGACTCGCTTACCATTTTCTTAACTTTCCTGAAACAATTTCCTTTATCATTTGCTCACGTATCACCCTCTGTGTCCCCTGCTTCTGTCACTCCTCCCTTGGGTCTGGCTTTCTCCAATCTCTCAGGAATGGAAGGGATGGCTTTTATAATAGATGTTTATTCCTCTCATTGTATCCTACATATACCCTAGTCAACATGCATAACTGGCTGTCACAGGTAGAAAGGTCTCTTCTCTGAACTATCATTCTGCAAAGCAGCGATAGCATTCTCTTGATGCTATCACTATCATAGGACTATGATCTGAGACAATCAGGCTTAGTTCCTGATATGTAAAGGAATTTGGAAAAAAATCCTTGTTCACCACAAAATCTGTGTTTTGATGCCTATTGATGCAAAATCCTATTTAAAATGTTATTTTCTTTACATTTCTTCTATATCCACCCTAATCTCCCTTTCAGCTCATATACTATTGCCCCCTTAATGCACACAAACACACATATACTCTCTCTAAGAAAAGGAATAAATTGATGGACAGAACAAGAAGTTCATGCACATGAAAAGAAAAATGATTAAGCACATTTCCTGCTAAGATATAGTAGTTCTGGTTAATGCAGGGTTTTTCTTGACACCAGAAGATCTGTAATGGTGTGAAAACTCATTAAAACCTATAAAACACAAGGTAAATAATGGTTATTATTTTTCAACTTGTGCAACCATCTTCATCAAAGATATATTCACATGAAGCTCAAATAAGTTACTTATATTGGTTCAGTAAAAGATAAAACTTTCATTCCTCTGCTTCTCTAAAAAAAAATAAAAAAGTAAAATACAAGAAAATAATTTTTAAAAAAAGAAAAGAAAAAATTAAAAAAAAAAAACAACTTTCAATTTAAAGAACAATGATTAGGTTCCAGTATCTACTTGAATGATACCTTCATTCTTTAGCTGATCGTGTTTACTAAGATGGTGTTGAACAGGGGCTGACTGTTCCTAGAAAGCATGGGCTTCTTCAGGCATGTGATGGGAAAGCATGTGCTGACAGGGTCAGAAGTCTGCGTAAGGGTTCCTGGGACCAGTGGAGTAGCCTCTCTAAGCCACAGTGTGCTCTTTCAATAAACACTTCTCGAGCCTCTACCATGTGCCAAGCATTACAAAATGGGTGAAATAGTAGTAGCTGAAATAGTAGTAGCCAACCTTTGCTTATCATTTCCTCACTTAATTCTCAACAAAATCACATGCAGATGGCACTTTAAAAAGTTGGCATTTTCACAGGTAGGGAAACCAAGATACAGAGACATTAATTAACAAATTGCCTAATGTCACTCAGGTTTTAATGATGAAGCTATGTGTTCCCCCCCCCAACAATTTGATTCTAGAAACTTCTCTTTTCACTACTATACTCTTGTTTATAGGATCTTAATTTTCTATGTATTTATTAATTATTTTCATTTTATTTGTTGATTCGTTGTTCTTGACAGGATTTAAGTCAGTAAGGACCTCATAAAAAAAGGCATGTGAAAATACTTAGTAAATTGCCTGGTACATTGTGAATACATGTTGTTGTTATTTATTATACTTGTTCTATGTGATTAAACCTCTTAAATTTAATTCTTATTTTTTTTTAAAAAAAGTCTTGTTTTTGGTAGGATTTCTCATCTATGACCCATTTGGGAAGTCTTAATATTGACCCAATCACATTTTTGTTCCATTTCCTAGTACTTCAAGTAATTTATGTGTCTTAAAATCAGAGAATTCTACTATCTATACTTTTTTAATGTTATAAAGTATATTAATACATAAAAATATGTAACATGTATAATAATTATAAACCAGTATGGTTGCACTTTTAATGTTTCCATAATATATGTTCTCTTATTCTTGCATGGAAAAGAGTAAACAACATTTTGTAAAGAGAAAACAGAATATTGGTGGATGCTTTGTTTTGATCATAATGTTCTCTAGTATAGAAGCAACTATGTATTTTACTGGCCTATCCAATTTTAATAACACTAGCTTGCACTACAGCAGCTGCCAAATTGTCCTAAATGTCAGAAATATTAAGCTTCGACTTTGAAAATCAAATCGCTCCTTGCAGCTTACAATTGTTAATGTTTTAAGTGTGAGGACCACACACTCCTTCCATTTAGCCAGAGAACCTGAGCTACAGTTGCTACTTCCTACTCACCAACTGCTACTGCTACCTGCCTAATAATTGTCTTTGGCTCCCTGTAAACCTGCAGTCAGAAAGGTATTTGAATTTCCCCCCTCTAGCACTTGCAAATCCTATTTTTATGTATAACTAAGTGCTCTTAGTTTTTACTCTATCTACTACTGGGGCCTGGTTTCTAGCAGGCCTGTAACTAAGCCAGATCCGGCCTATGTAATGCTGTTTGTAATGAGAAATCTAAACAAGGAATGGCAGTGAGGCATGGCAGGAATGTGTTTCCATTGGAGAAGTCAGTGTAGGGAAAAAGGATAAGCAAAGCCATGTCCAGAAGGCCTTTTCAGCTGGCCAAGACGGAAGACTAATGTTATTGTACCTAGGCTGTTCCCCTGCCAGCCCTTCCTCACAGATTTGCTTTCTCTCTCTCTGTCCCCCCTCCCCTCCCCCAACTCTCCTCCCCCCCTCTCTCCCTCTTTCATCTCTTCCCTCTCTTTCGCTTTCTTCTTCTGTCTTTCTCCCACTCCGCTGACTGTTTGCTCAGGTGGACAGTGACACCATTTGGAATGAGCTGCACTCGTCCGGTGCTGCACGCATGGCTGTTGGCTGTGTCATCGAGCTGGCTTCCAAAGTGGCCTCGGGAGAGCTGAAGGTGAGGTCTGGGTTGCATTAAGTGTGGGAAATCCAGAAAAGAAGCTGAAACAGAGATGTTGTTGTTTGGGAATTGTGGGGAGTGTGTGGTGGTAATAAAAGGAAGGAGGTGGAGGGAAGAGGGCAGGGGGATGGCCACGAAGGTGTGATAATAACTCGTCTGTAGATGGGGAGTCCCCTGTCCCGCTTGCAGGGCCTCCTTTTCTTCCAGAAAGCTCTGCAGTCAGGGCACTCGGTGTGTTTTTAAGAGCATAGACATGGTAAGTAAAGCTATGGTCCAGGTTAAAAATACCCTTAGTGTATACATATCTGTCATGCCATCCTGGGATTCTCTTTTTAAGCGCTTTTTAAAATATGATTACTGAGTAGTATGTATAAGCTCAGAATACCACCCAGAGAGAGGGAGGGGGAGAAAGGTAAATACCAGACGGGAAGGATTGGGAGGAAGAAGGAAATTGTTGATTAGGAGGGTAATGATCCAGAGTATGTTTTTCCATGAAAGAACTTCAAAAATGAGCTATGCTTTATTGTTCTTTTCTTTTTATGGTCTCTTCTTTTCTACATCATATGAAAAGAACAATGTCCAAAACCCAACGTTTCCCAGTCTAAACAATTTATAAAAGCCAGAGACCTGACAGACGTTGACATTTTATTTGGTATTTTAACAGTGCTATTTAAAGGTATGCCATGTGCGTCTTGAATGCAGTTACCCCAATAAACTTTGTTGGTGCTAACATGGCTTTTTAATGCACTAGTTCACACACTTCATGATGCAATCTGGGTGGTGATTGATTTGGTATTTTTAGCCATCCTGGGGCTTGAGGGAAATATATTACGACCCACTACATATGCACTGTGAGTTTTATTAATCTAAGATAAATCTAATTAAGATTATTTTTCTTTCTGTCTAATGAATTTTTATTCAATTATGCCTGACTATTCCATTTGTGATTAAAAATGTAGGGAGGGAATGTTCACTTCACAATGCGTTGTTTGTCCCAGAGCTCTTTGCTCTAACTCTTTAAAAAGTCAGAACCTACAGAAATATAATTTTGATAATGTTAGCTGTATTTAAAAGTGCATTTGATGTGATTGGTATTCAGGACATTGCTCATCTCAGGGGTTTTATGGGACCATTAATGTGGTGCTTATTATTCAGTCTTTACTTTTGGTAATGAGCAATTAAAAAGTGGAAAGGAATCAGCCCACAGAGAATTATTATGTTAGCATTCACAATTTCTAATTATCTTAAGTGTGTGGAAGTTCAGGCAATAATTCAGAAAACTTCTTAAGTAGAATTCCCACATATTACTTATACTCATCAAAATCATCATTGTTAGCCTCACTGTGTGCACAATTGCCTAACGTAAGCACAAAGATAGTTGAACATAAACTTAATTTCATTTTAGGAGGCACCCATTTAAAATAGCCAATTACAAACAAAGCATCAACAACATATAGCAGGGACATGCTGACCACCAGCTGTACTAACATTGGCTATTTATTTATTAAGAGCAAGGATTTGTACAAATGCTTTTTCTCCCCCCTGATTAAGCAACCAGCAGGCATGGTTGGAAAAGAAAAGAAAAGAATAAAGAAAAAGAGTCAGCTTAAGAATAAAGAAATCTTGGTCCTGGCTCTGCCACTTAAATAGTGTCTTATTTGTGGCAAATCATTTAACTTTTCTGGGCCTTAGTTTCCTGTTCTGCACAATCAGCTAGGTGGAATTGATAATGTTGAAGGTCATCCATGGTGCTGACAATCTGAACTATTTGCAAATGAAAAGTGGATCTGATTCTTAATGATGCACATTATGACATGACATAACAAACAGTAGACATTCCAAAATCTTAACTTGCTTTGGTGAATATCCCAGATTGCACAACTGGGTTGTATCTTTCTGATTGTCAAGTCCAAAGTATAAGTCCAAGACAGGCAGAACTGTAACATAGGCACTGGTGCCATGCTGATATGTAAAGAGACTGAACCCCTCCCCTTGGTTGCTCATAATTTGGGTGGGCTACAAAGATGCGATGTGGAAAACGTAGAAATCACAAATGATTTGGAGCCATAGAGGATGGGAACTCAGAAGATAAGAAATGTGCACAAAAAAGGAAAATGCCAATGACAAAATTTGATTACCTGGAACTTTTGCTTGATGGTGAGTTTGACCATAATAGCCCTTCTAACATTTGATAGGTTCTGTCCTTTCTTCCCCTGGGGGTACTGATGAGCTGAAGGAATTAGAAGGATGAATCAGACAGAAGGGGTGGGTTTCATGTTGATGCTTACATAAAACATGTGCAACACATTCTATTAGTAAATTGGTGTATTATTGGCACAGAATGGACGTGCTCAGTGGATTTCAGTGGAAATTTGGGGGACTTTCAAGATTTCCAGATTTCTTAAACAATATATTTAAAAATTACACCCTAGAGTAAATTTCTCAACTCTACAGATACCCAAATTGGCTATTTCTCAGATTCTGGTATGAAGGAACAAAAGTATTCTGAAAATATTGAAATGTTTGGTGTATTGGAAACCATAATTAGGAGAATAATTATAGCAAAATGTTTTTATTGTTACATGGCGTTTCAGAAAGTATGTCAAGGACATAAAAGTATCTATGAAAGGTGGATCCTTTTTTCAACTTTTAAATAAAAAATGACTCAATACTTATAAAGATTTGCTATAAAGGTTCACTTTGATGCTATTTTGACAATGCTAACCATGTCTTCATAAAAATGTTAAAATTTCTTTAGCTGTCTGTACAAATTATCAAAACAAACAAAACCAAAAAAGCTGTTGAACACCTGGTTATCTGAATGTTGGGTGGATTTCTTTAATGTTTGAGAGGATATTGTGATGTCATGTTGCTAATAATATTGCTATTCATTGAATGACTACCATAGGCTGGGCAGTTTATATGTAATCTACCATTATTCTCACAATTTACTGTTGAAGTAAGTACAGAAGCACCAATAGGATACTGGGTCAAAAATATCAAGTAACCTTTTAAGATCCTGTACCCAGGTTAATAAGTAATAAAGGCTGTAAATCTCATTCTCTGTTCTCTTTCAACCACTCTCAGAACTTTCTTGTACAGGTAGCACAAATATATGTAAGAGAAAAAGGATTAAAACCATTATAAATGGCCCAAATCCCCTCTTTTTATTAATGTAAAATATTTGATACATACAAAAAATAACAAGTTACATTTTCAAATCACAAGACACAATAATAAAATAAATATCCACGAACTTTTCATCCAACTTAAGAATAGAACTTTGATGACACTATTAAAATTCTCTCGGCCCTTATCTCTTTCCTATCTTTCTAAACCAGGGTTATCCAATAATCTCTTTTATTTAAAAAAAATTATTTATTTTCCTCTCTTTACTAGTTTTAAAGATGTTTTTGACCTTTATAAAAATGTAATCTTGTTGAATACATTCCCCTTCTTCAGTTTCTTTTTCTCCCATAAAATTATGTTATGAGGATTTACTCATATGGGTGTATGTATCTGTGATTCATTCATTTTTATTGCTATAAAGTATTCCTTTTGTCCCATAATTTATTTATTCTTCTATGGGATGTTATAGGTGTTCCCAGGTTTTGGCTCTTTTGAACAGTGCTATATGAACATTCTTGAACATGCCTGCTCTTTCACTGTGGCATGAGAAAGAGTAAAAGGACCAGCTCCTATGCTAGTTACACAATAAATTTCAGTAGGTAATGCCAAGTGGAATTCCAAAGTCATTTTTCCACAATGATGTCAGCAAAAATGTCAATTTAAATCTCTGAAAATTCTTTTCTCCATAAAAGCAATGACAAAACTGGCAAAATTTGTCAGGATGAATTTTTTTTGAAACTCTGGAAATTAACCAAAGGCTTCCAGCAACTCAGAAAGCATGTTTCAAAAAACAAATCAGCTGAATGTTGGTAAGAACAGTGAGCTTTGTAGTATTTTAACATACCATATTCTTTCCCTTTCTAGCTCCATGGGAGCCTTAACAACTAAGAGCCTGTATCCTCAGTGAAAATCAGTAACTTGGCAATCTTGGGCCGGCTAGGGCCAGGGGTAAGGAAATGGGGTTGGAGCTCCTTCAAAGCCTCAAACCTAAAGAATTATCATTGTTTGGCCTCTCTGGTGCTTCCCTGCAAGATATACTTTCAAGATTTTCTTTATTTGGCTTCATGTGGAGTTCACTCAGAGTGAAAACCTCTTTCCCAAAAGTATTTGTTGAAAATAAGTAAAGACAATTGATTAATTTTATGGCTGCCTGAGGTAGTGCATAACAATGTGGCAAATAATAGGCTAACCAAAAGCTTCAAAGGAAAAACAGAGGATTGAGATAAGCATAAGGACAATGAAAAATCACATCAAATGCCCAAGAATCTAGAAGGCCATGTGCATGATAGGGCTGTGACCATGGTCAGAAATGATCCTGAAAATGTCCTAAGCTCTCCTCTCAAGCTTACTTTAAGGCTCTATTCACACAGGAAGTGAAGGCCAAGGTGGATTTTTCAGCCGCCTAAATATTCAAAGTATGACCTAAAACACACACACACACACACACACACACACACACACACACACACAGCCCCTTGACAAAGGCTTAGGGACTATTGGTTATAAGCATTTAAGGAAATCTCTGTCCAATCATTAACTGACTACTAAGCTAACGTATCGGAGAATTCAGTACCATACAAAATATATGTTGAAGATTCTGTAGAATTAGTTCAGAAAAGTCACTAAACAAACAAAACAACAATAATAAGCAGGAACAATAAAACCTGGGAAGAGGTGAGAATATGATTTCCAGTGTTGCCATGTTGTTTTGTTTAAAATGTCCAGTTTTTCAACAAAAAAATTTGAGACAAAGAAACAAGAAAGTGTGGCCCATACACAGGAAAAGAAAAGTCAGTAATAACTGTTCCTGAAGTAGCTCAGCTGTCAGACTTATTAGACAAAGAATTTAAGTCAGATATTTTAAATAA